CCCTCCCCCTCCCCCCTTCATGGCTCCAACAAGAACTCTTCCAATAACAACATCTACTAGGCCATGTTGAACTTCACCTCCAGGTCAAAGGTAAAACAATTTCAAAACTTTTATAAAAAAAACTTTGAAAAGAAAATTAATCACAGAGACGGCAGTGCACTATACATTTGTATTTAGATAATTGTGATTGGCACCTCTAGGTCAACGGTCAAATCAGACCAGAACAAGTACCTGTATGCATAATGATAATTAAGGTGTGACACATACTTTTTGTTATAGCAAAAACACATTTAGATATATATTTGAGTTTATTCAATATATTACTGTTTTTTGTTATATGTTACAGGATTATACAGAATAGATTGATGCTGGTGATCATTTGTGCAATATTACTACTGGTGATTGGATTAGCTATATATTTCATTGTGAAGAGAAACTCTTGATGACGATCTATGACTTGTATAGAATGCAAACTATTGTGGGATCATATCAGTGGCAATATTGATGGACATTGGAGGGGAAAACAATTACTAGACCTTTATCACCTGGAGTTCACACGACTGATGCTGGACAGACAGTTGATGTTGTACACAGGACCACATCAAGACAAAGAATGGCACGAAGTCCACTCATTACCGACAATACATGTCATTGAGTACTTCTGATTCTTCAAAGAATATTTTCATTTAATATATACTGGGATCCTCCGTATTTCTGTTACTTGGTATAGATATATATACCATCACTGGATACATATGTATTTATGTATGTAATTGAGTTTTATTACCATAACTCTGTATATATTTTATGTCGCCAAATTTAAACTGGAATACTGTAAAAACAAAAATCTTCATCAGGGATTTTTCTCAAATATTTATGTAATGTAAAGGTGGTACTTCATTAAATTCCTATAATGTTTAGAAAAATAAAATAAGCCTATTAATAACAGTAAGCCTCTAATCGCTAAGTCTATCAAAGATATCCTTCAAATCATAATGTCTGTTTTTGCTTCTGATAGTGGTTTATTGGAACCACTCGATGAATCTACTCATGTTTTAATGAGTGCTTTCATCGGTTTTCATCAAGGGCAGGTATAATAGTAAATGGAGCATTGTGTCACACCTACCAGCTACGAGGCACTAAAATTAAAATCAACTGTCACAGACTTGTTTTACTTATCCCTTTGATGATTATTGTTGTCAGAACAGCATAGTATGATCGATATTAAACTGATGTTTCAATGCTTTAGGAGGTTTCATTTCTCTTTTTTTTTTAACATTTAATTCTATTTTTTTATGATACATAAGAATATACAACATTTGATATAGCCCCCTATCTAGCTAGTAAAAGCCACTCCAAAGCGCTTTACAGTACAACGTATACAATCAATACAATTAGCATATATATACATTAATCAATACAATTTTGAGAAATTCGCATGAGTTGCCTTATCAGGCGCTTATTACTAGTCCTATGTCACCTGGCTTATATCTCCCTAAATGTGAATGCCTGTGTGTACTTGAGATGTATTGTATTCTGTTTGTACTGGCACCATGTTTCCAACGGCATCATTTAAAGTACCATCTCACTTGAATGCTACAGCACAGATACCACAACATCCACCCCAGACCATTTTATACTCCAGCTGGGTTATTGGGGTTGTGGGCAGGAGAAAAACACTTTCTCTGAATATTCCATGCATACAATGATTTCGGAGATTGAACCTTGGCGGCTTGCGTGGAAGACTGAAGTGTTTACCACTCGACCAATCCGCCCAACTGCTGGATTGATACACAAATAGAATTTCCACAAAATACAATTCCATCAAATATTCTCACTTACACAAACTAGAAAATTTAACTCCAGTGAAATGTAATGCTTCCATACATGTAGTATTAAAAGAAAGGAAACCTTCGCAATTAACAAAGTAACATACAGATGAACCAAACTGAAGTAAAGGTTACCATTACAATTTTCTAAAGAACCCCAAGCTTATACAATACCATGACATACAGAGATCAGAGATTGATAATGTCCCAGTACTTTCAATGAATCTCATTTTTCACAACACCTTACAGGATGTGGACATTAGTGCTATGATAGTCATTCCTTCTGATTTAAATAGTTTGTGTGGGTTACATAGGACAGGGTAGGTTACTGAACCATATGTTTGTTTGGTATTGTGATATGTGTATTGATAGCTACGAGATTGTCACCCTTGATAAAGGTTTGTTTATCAAATGATGAGAATTATATTGTTGTTATGTGAGTGCATAAACAGATGAAGGTTTGTTACCTTTTGTTATAAGTCACAAATATTTATATTAATAAGTAGGATGTACATTAAAACAAAATTCATTTTCCTTTTTTTGTTGTCCTGCAACCATGCTGTATTATACAATTGAAGAAAATAAAAGAAAGAAATATCTTGATTTCAATTTCATGATAATAATTTATTTATTTCTAGCAGAACATAATTAGCTTGGAAAACTTTAGAATAATTCATATACAATGTAATAGAGCTAGATAAGGGTGTTGAGATAAACTTCATGACAAGTACAATTTAAATCTTAGAGGAATTATCAGCTGTTGATTTAAGATTATTGTGATGTATCTATTTTGATATAGTTATGCATTTTCAATTAGAACAAGATGACTGTCAACCAGCCATCTTGAATTTTGAGCATTAAAGTTTGTTATAACTATTTCTCAGAAAGATCAGATCTTTCTTAAATTTCATGTTGGTTCATTTTGGTCCTTTGTTGTGCACAGTTTGGAACTAATATTCATTTATCACAGGTGGGTACCTTTTTTCTCCGAATTTGTACATGTTTAATTTAGAGACTGATTGGAAGAATAAAATGTGTGGCAGCCATCTTGGAATTGGGCTGTTAGTTTGTTTTTGCTATTTCTCTGACAGTAAATTAAGGTACAGATGTTTTAAAAATTTGTAAGAAGTTTTTTCCTGTTCCCGGTTTTACATAATATTTCATTTTGTGCTTCAAGCTTCTTGATCATTGAAAAAAGGGCTGCAAATAACTATAAAAATATCTCTTATTCTATTTTTATACATTACCTTTTTAATCAATAGGTCAAAAGAAAAACAATGCCAAACACAGCTGTACATAGTTTTGATCAAAAGTTAAATCATGTTGCACATATATGTTGATTAGACAACAATCCTGTAGATAAAAGAAAGAGAAAAAAAAGATCTTACACAGAACTAATGAAGATCTTACAATGGTGGGTAACAAGATTCCTCCGGGATTCCTCGTCCTTTTGTTGTTGTTACTTCTATTTGTAATTGATGTTGTTAGTCAAAATAATATGTTTCATGATGTTTTCAGAGGTAAAGAAACAAAACAGTTAAAAATATTTGAATGGTTTCTGATATTATATATTTGCAGTGTTATACTTGATACTGATCTGACTTCCTTTATGGAGCATGAATCATACTTTTGTTTCGACAGTGTACAACTTCTGTTTGTGTTAATCAGAATGAAATAATATTGAAATGCAATCAGTAAAATGAGGTATTCAGTGTTGATGCGACTGAGCTGATGTCATCACTTGCTTTAAAAGTCTACACTCATAGAATAGCTTAACTGCAGAAAGAGGCTGGAATGGAATGAGTTGACACGGTCTACTGTATCAAGTTTGTTGTGTGAACTTGCTTGCTATGAAGATTGTTCAAATGATTTATTTTTTACCCAAATTGATAAAACTGTTTCAGTTACGGAGACAAGGTTAATTCCTTATTTAAAGTATGATGTCATAAGTCGTCTGACCATCAACCTTTTTTCTGTTGATGGCGTTTTGAAAACTGGCCCAGGGTCTGATGCCTTGCTCCCTGGGAATTATCCCAAGGAAATAAAACGGAAAACATTGCAACTTATAAAGCAATTCTGGGACCAGAGACGGAGCCAAAAATGGAAAAATGTTTGATACAATTAAAAAGTTTTTCTCTTGGTTATATCCAAGTGAGCCATACAGCTCCTGTGGGCCTTTTGTTTTGAATAAGTATGATAGTTCAAAGCATGAAACTAGGATTAACCCAGTATTCTGCAATCAAAATACATATTTTTTTCTATAATTTCATGCCCATACTTGAATGAAATATCTGATTTGCAATCCAACTAATAAATAGTACTCATTGTTTCCCATTATTTAGCAGTCTTATTTTCACAGTAGGTTTAATTAAAAAAATGAATCTGCATTTCAGTAATGAGTATTTGTGCCTGTATGGTATTATTTTGTTTAAAATGTTCTGACTTTTAGCTATGTGGCTCTTAGTTGTGGTGCAATTAGATGTTATTTGGGGTATATTGATGGGAGCTATGTTTTTATTGATTGGAACAAAGCACATTATTTGATATAATTTTAACTGTATTAATTGTTATTTATGTACAAATAAACTTCAAAGTAAAATGTGGTCTTTTTAGTTAACTACATGTAGTACTGACTATATTTTCTTGATAACCATAGTCACACCATTACTTGTTACCCCCCACACCAGACATTAAAGGGGACATCATATACAAGTCTGTCCAGGTTCATTTCTACTCTATAACTCGAGTTCAGTCTAACTCAAACCTACATTCAGGGCTTTGTCACCAACACACTTACTGGCAATTATTAAGTTGAAAGGTTAAGGTCACTGTTGCCATATATATTGATCAGTTTCTGTCTTGGCTCAATCAAATTTGTGACATATCTTCCATGACCAAAGCATTTATTTGAGATTGCTTTCCAGGTCTGGCTTGGTGCTTGCTGGGATGAAAGGCCATCAAATTAATAATCCTGACCTCCTTTCACGGTAATCAGTCTGTGTTAAGAAATATTTTCATGAGTCCTGAGGCCATGACTACCATACAATCTTGTAATTGTAACAGCCAAGGAATAGGAGGAATATTGCCTTACTGACAAGCTAGATTTTCCAGCTATGCAGTGTAACCCGCATCCTTGATATCCAGGGGTTATGCTCACTTATACTCTCTGCACCCCTGAAATATGTCATAGCAAAATTGAAGACATGAAGACAGCTGTTTGATTGGTGTCGGGTAAAAAAACCTGACCAATATCTAGGCTGATATACATGTATGTTCTTTGAAGATTACAAAGGGGCGACACCAGACTTGTGCTGTCAGTCAATTTTTACTGATACGTGACCGTGACCGCGAGATTCTTTTAATGTACATCAAAGGATCAAACTAATCTTCTTGTCTCATCAACAAGGTGGCTTGCACTGAGCGTTCAATTTTGCTATGACATATTCCAGGGGTGCAGAGAGCATAAGTGAGCATATGGGCGCCTGCCCGCACCATACATAATGAACTAGTGTTATTTTGCTGAGTAAGTTGCAGGGGTTAAGCATCATGCTATCAAATTCAGAACCCATCTTAAATCAAATGAGTGTATTATTTGATAGACCAGTGGTAGCGGTGTACAGTAGAAATGGCCTGGTCCTAAAATAACCGGCATGTCCAAGATACACATGGGTACTGGTTTCATCCTACACAACATTCACACAAATGTTTATATTTATAAACTGCATTATAATAACAATATTATTTTAGAATATTTTTTAAGAAGTGTTTTCCCAGTTTTCAGACTTTTTTCCATGGTCAGCACATCAAAAAACACCAAATGATGCAAAAAGAACATGATGTTAACCCTAAGTTTGGTCCCCGCAGATAGGAATTTATTTTCTTAAAACCTAGCTGACAATTAAATATCACCTACTCCATAACAGAAATAAATTGTGATCACGTTTCAGCATAGGTCACACATGTGCCGAATACAAAAATAGACTACATGAAAAGCTAGCTTTTGTTGTGTAGACATGCAGATTTGTAAATCTATGGCCAAACTGTAGTATCAAACCAAATGCAACTTTTTTTTCTTGAAATTATGAAGCCCACATAATCCACTTTATCATGTATGATATGCCAATTTTAGTGCTGTTTTTAATTTTGATACAGGTAATATTACAGGGGTTATTCAATGAACAAATATATCACCCATGGCCACCGTACACTACTGTACATTGCTATCAGTGTACTAGAATTGTGAAAAGCACTGTCAAACTATGGAGGGGGTAAGTTTAACAATTTCTTTTTGTTGCAAAGTGATTTCCTTATGGTAATATTACCAGATGAAGATCTTTACATATAAGATAGAATACAACAGTATAATGACGATCTGATGTACAGATGTATTTACAATATTTTAATTCATATCTTGTTTTTCTTATATACAAATTTACGTACATATGTGTAAGTCTCAAAAGTTTGGTACTGAACCTCTATTGTAAAGTGTGCATCACCTAATGCAGAATCACAGATAGGGAGAAAATATTGTTAAACGTGATGGAATAATACCAGCTTTTCCATGTGTCAACACTTTTGAATCCTCTTTATACAGTTTGATGCACTCTTCAGGCACTTTCAATGTCAGCAAAAGTCTTAAAATTCCATGAGATTTCATTTGGAGTTTGTTAGAGTTTTTCCCACAAGTGAATGAAATGAACACGAAGAATGATTTGTTGACCTCGCCTATGCTACCTGGACTAATGGCTGATTTACACAAGGTTTGTTGGGGTTGTTTTCTAGGAGCCAGTCAGCAAGCCAGATCTACAAAACAAAGAAACAACAGTAAACTATTAAACATAAAACATCAAAAGTTGAAACTTTATAGTTCAGACACTGAAATGTACATTAATTGGAATATATGTTCCTCTGGTACATGTATATTATGATTATTACATTTTTTTTTCTTTTTCCTTTTTCTAAACACTCATCAAATCAACACGCAAAGAGAATCTAAATAAATAGAAGCCCTTATGATCTCTGATATAACAGATACATTTTAATGCTTGGTACTTACCACTGGGTCGATGGGCTTCTGTTTACAGAGTTCTGTGAGTCCCTTGAGAAGGGTAGGGTTGACAGACTTGGCTAGGTAATCTTTCGCTGCCTGTCCAATAGGTACAGGTTCAACAATGCCTGAAATAAACAATATTTCACTTCAATATAACATAATCATTATAAAAACAGTCTGATGAACGTCATCTGCATATATTTTATTCATTAAGCATTTCTGTAAACAATAGAAATTAAAGTAGGAACTGTCTGGTAGATGCAAAATACATTTTGGTGTTTGAACATGCAGTCACCTGTCTTAAATATATTAAAATAATTGGTATAAAAATAGACATGTAATGGATTTACTTGATTGCATGATTATAAGAAAACTACACTATTTCACATTTTGTAAGTGGTAACTGTAGGTAAATGTTTTGCATCAGAAATGCTGCACATTAGTTTTTTGGTTAATAGTTTAATTTTCAGTTTGGATACATATATAATGTACTCAAAATTAGACATTCACTCTTATTGCAAGTATAGGAATAGTTTACACAGGCCAAACTTACTATCAGGGAAGAAGAATCTGGTTTCTCTTTCAGAACTGGTGAAGCTTTCACTTCCATGGAGGGCATTTCTCTGATCATCTGTACCATATATTGATCTCAAGCTGTTGGAGAAATGACAAATGGCTCTATATAAATGTAACTGAAGTTTAGTTGTATGATAGCTATACTAAAATTGTCCTAACAAACAGTAACGAGAGGCAGTTATGATTTCTATGCTTAGGTTTGCATGACCAATCATAATTATACCTCAATAATATTGTACTAATAGAATAAATTTAGTACATGTGCATTATTCTTTTTCTATCAAAATTTACTTTTACATTTTTTTCATTAACAATCACTTCTATTACCTCAAAATGGAATTAAAATATTTTCTTATATTCTTTGGTACTTCTATGCAATCATTATATTTAGATTTTTTTTAAAGGTCGGAAAAAAAATATAAGAATGAATTTGTGTGATATCTCGGGTACTTAGTATGCGATAAAATACCTTACCAATCAGGATGTGTCTGTCGAGCCTTTAATGTATTGTTTGGGCCTATCAGTTCCTTCCAGTAGGAGATTGCATTATCTCTTGAAATCACCAAAGCTATGATAGGGCCATGACTCATGTAGGCCACCAGACTGGGGAAAAACAACTTTCCATAGTGTTCCGCATAGAAATCACTGGCTTGTTCTGGTGTTAAATGAACTCTTCTTTTCTGCAAAGTAAAATTATCAATTAAACAATGTACAAGGAAATGTAGAATTGTGAAGATGATTTTACATAGTTTAACACTTTTCCTTATTTGTGAAAACAAACGCTAACTAAAGACACCACATCTGGATTATGAATCAGGAAACTACAACATTAACATTGTAAATTTTTCAAAATCGCTTCCTTAAATATTTAAATAACCCATTGAAAAAATATACCAGATTAAAATGAAAGAGAGTGTTGGCTTCCACCGCAGATCAAACCAGTAACCCCTAGCTTCCAAGTCAGTCACTCTAACGTTTGACCTAAAGGGATATTCCTTCTAGCTCAAAAATAAAATGCTACCATCATTATGTTTACAATTAGTCTGCCCACTTAATTAATGCACTACTACTGAATTTGATGACATTGAAAAGTTTATATAACTAGTGAAATGACTTGCATTTTGGCTAACTGTGACACCTATTTCATTGCTTATTTTCACTGGCAGTGCCACACTTTTAACTACTGGTTCAGCAACCTTTCATGTAAAGAAAAATCAGTTCTCCACTATGAACTCCTGGTTAAGCAAACTTCAGTGTATCTGCAGTACCCAACTTAAAGTTACTGGTTCATAACCTAGAAATCTTATATGCACTTTTGAAAAAAAGGCAGAACATAAACTTTCACATGTAAAGAGAAACACTTTCCCATAAATTTGCAGATATTTTTATAATTGTGGTGTTCGGGCCAGTGGAAACTCGGGCTACCATGACAGGACCAATGTAATATACATGTACAGTGATGTACAAGAAATCATAAACTGTTAATTCACTTTGTTTTAAGTAAATAAAAAGATGAAATTCAACACAAAGTTTGAGAATTAGCAAGCGCTTCTCTTCGTAATAATGTAATAATTATGTTTCATAAAAAATCGAATCATGATGGAAATTAGCAAAATAATTTAACATTGCGTCAATGGTAATGACATCAAAGTTAATTTACTATTAGGCCGAGAGGAAAAACGATATTACAAACGTCCTCTTCGTCAGACTGTAATGTACTGTACAAGTTATAACATCCGCACGACATGTATGATGTAAACAATGGTAATCAAAACCATGATTTACCTGTAAAATAGCGAATCCTGATCGCAAAATGATATCTTCGATCTCTTCCGCTTTTTGTAATGCGTCAGGCTTTATTATAGCTAATGTCCTCTCCACATAAATGTGTGGAGGGGGCATCATAACTTTGTCTCCTTCTGTTTCTCCTGTCATTTTGTCGGAATATGGCGTCGTAGTTGCTGTGGATACTTTGATCTCGTTCAATTCTCGTTTGATTTTACGAGAGTCACATGCTGTATGAAAAAATATGGCGGCTACCATTAGAATGAAGGCGTCCTTAGTCACACATTTCAATGCATTTCTTGACTTCCTGGAGCAACAGAAATAAATACTCGGAGCTGTAATCAAATAAGAAATGGATAATGTAAGTTAATGTATCATAGGTAATTTAAAAGACAAATATTCAACGTAAGAACACTTGTTTTGTGAACGTGATGTTCAATATAAAGTGACATTTCATGTTTATACAAGTTGATCAAGTCCACTAAAAAGTTTGTTTACCTTTTGCTTCATTAATGATTAGTTACTCCAAAATTCTTTGATTGCTTAATCATCTGATGATTAGTTATTGTGCATTAATCTTTCTTATTTCTTGAAATATATCTAGATCTATTTTCATTTAAGTAATCGTTATTTTAATATTTGTCTGAAAATTTTAGATACACAATATTCCCATGCCAGTAACTACCTTAAATTATTTGTTAAAAATCTAATGTTACAAACCACAGTTTAAAACCAAACCATTAAACCAGTAACATGACTTATTTAAAGTTTCATTAGAAAGTTACAGTTTACAGACATGTACATCACATGTTGTCCTAGCTACACTGCACCTTGGATTTATGTCACTACTACTGTACAGTATAATGTTACTGGGAAAATTATTTGTCAGAATCAGTTTTATATCATAATACCTTTGAACAAAGCATGAGGACCTCCAATAGAAGTAGTATTATAAGCTGCTATGCTATGCACTTTCTGTTTGTTTATAAATCACTACTTCCTCAAGATTGCGAACTGAGTTGACAAATATTATCGTAAATACATGGAATATAAACATTACTTGAAAATTTTGAAGCAGAAATTTGTGATAAATGCTAATTATTCTTTAGTCTGAGTCAAAACATGTCAATGTTGCTGCAAGAAATTCTGACATTTGGAAGAGATTTGCTGTGTTGTTCACACTTATTCATGGATTTATTCTTTAGGAAGCATAATTTATTACAATAGCTGTGTATTATGCTGTACGCTTGGTAAATATACAAATGACTGATTTTGCATTCAATGGTACTTTCAGAAATGGACACCAGGTGCATCCTCAGGAAGCAAGAAATCACACCGTAAGTAATGAACTTGTGACAGTGATGTAGATATAGTATTTAACATACTTTAAAGTACATAGTGTTTGTGTTAGAGTGTCACTGTGATAGTTTCTGTTTTGTTAATAAAAACTTAAGGATGAAAATTCAACAATTTTTAGCTTTCCTGGTCCAAAAGTCTTGTGAGTTTATGTCAGGGTAGACAGTCTGTCATATGTCTGTGAACAATTCTTCAAACAACTGATTGGAATTTCTTCAAATTTGACTGGAAGCATCCTTAGACTGGAGGATTTGAAATTGTACATAAAGGGTATTTTGACCATTTTGTTTTCTAACTATGAGATGGATATCAACTAGTTTTGGTTGAAAGCATTCTTAGAAGGTTGGGATTCAACTTTGTACTAAAGAAGGGGGGAGCAGGGTTATTGCTTTAAGCAACGCTTTTGTCTAGAATTTATAGATAGATATTAGCCATATTTGGTTGGTAGCATTTCCAGGAAATAGGGTACCAAAATTGTAGGATTGTAGAGCTGACCTCACGGGGAGCTGAGGGGCAGGGCCAAAGGGTTTTGCCATATTGCATAATTTATCATCATGTCTGGAATTATGAGATACATATTGACAAAATTTGGTGGGAATCATCCCAAGGTGAAAGGGATTCAAAATTGTACAAATTGAAGGGTTGACTCCCTGAGCTGAGGTGCAGGGCCACAAAGAAGTCATAACCCGGAAATGGTTGAGAGTCCTCACCTATATAAATTATTAAAGTATAAGGAGTATAAGGAGGCAAAATAACACATATGCTACCAGGGTGGCCCCACCCCTGCAGATTAATAGTCCCTGGATCATAAGTTTCAAACATATGAGGTAAAACCCCATAACCATATATATATAATTGCTGGGCAAAAAGAGACGAACACAATCATGATATAAAAAATTGTCTATGGGGTCTGGCCACATCCCAGGGGACTAAGTCCTTGATCATATCTTGGAAATAGTTTAGATCTCAACCCTTTAACTTTAAATGTAATTGCAATGCATGAAAGTTCAAACACATATATATCACCAGGATTGGCTTTAGGTCTGCCCTGCCATTAGGGACTTACGGTAGTCACTTAGTCATAATTTAGAAACAATTGAGATCCATCACCCTATAAATGAAGAATAGAACATGCACAGCTACCAGGATTGCCTTAAGGGTCGTGCCCCATACTTGGTGACTTGGGTCATTTATCACCTGGGTCATAGTATAGATAACTTAACAAAACAGTTGACATTTTTACCACATGACCATTTATGAAATTGCTGTGCTCAAAATTTCTAATACAGATCTGCTACAAGGATTGGCCTTCAGGTCTGCCCCACAACTGGCAACTTGGTAGTCTATTTGTCATAACATAAAATGGTTGAGATTCCCGACCCTTAACCAGGTATATACTATTGTTGGACAGGCATGAAGAAATACACACAATCATGCTGCTATAATTGGCCTTAGGGTCTACCCCAATCCTTTGGTCATTACACAGACACATTTGTGATCCCCACTCTATAATAACAATATGTTACATGTACAACATTTCTGAGCAAAAAGATTTGGATACACTTAATTGCAACCAGAATCTTATTTGCAATATTGCTTTTAGTGAGAACATTTTGCCATGACTGCTTATAAATATCCAGGTGAACAATACAGGCCCTCTGTTTTATTGTTGTTTGAAACAGTTCCATACAGTACAACATCTCCAAATTTAAGAGAGGAATATATGAAAATTGACAAAAAGCAAATCTTTTGGCATTTTTTTTTTTAAATATTGATTAAGAGGAATGTTTACATTTTTATATAACCATCTAAACATTGTTGTATAACTATATTTTTGTGGAGTTTCAAGGAGTCTGCTGATTTATTCTGAAAGGGTATTTGAAATTGCCTTATGAAGGCAGGAGGCACGGTAGTCCAGTGGTAGGATGCCGGGCTCGTGACCGAAGGGTTGCGGGTGCACGGCACGGCAATGTGTTGTATCTTTGAGCAAGATACTTTACTCTGCTTGTTCCAGTCTACTAAGCTGCAAATGAGTACGTGGTTGGGCAGTGCTAGAATTGTTGAATGCTAGCTGTTAGCGCCAAAATTGCAGCTCCGGCTGTATGCTCCCCAGGGAGTTGAGAAATGTATTGGCTGGTTGCAAAGGCCCTATAACCACAGATAATAGTTTGTGGACCACTTTGACACGACCTACAAACTAGGATGTGATAAAGCGGTTTATAAGAACCTCCAATTATTATGAAAACAGAAGAGCACTACAACCCCTATGTTATTATTTTTACAGGAGCCAAAGGGAGTGGATTAGATGACCTTCTTGGGGATCTACTAGATAATGGTATGGACATTTTTGTCTGAAGATTCTAATATGTTTTAAATACTATTCATCTACATGAGGATCAAGAATAGCTTTGACAGGATATATACCGGTATAAGGAAGTGTTGTATGATTGGATCCCAATGAAAAATATAGTAATATTGTTAAAAAGCTGTATGATTGTGATAAAGACACCAGAGCTGAAAGTAGTTGGTCATCCAAAATGTACTTTTCAACTTTGGTATGATTCCCATATAATCTAGCATGAAATGAATTCACGTTACCTGTTTTTGTGATGAGAAAAAACTTTTTTGTTTTGTTTTGTAAACATCAAAATAATGTAAGCTCTACCATCTGAATTTTACAGAAGTACCAAAGAAGAAAGTCACTTCAACTGTAAGTATTCTCAGACTATAGTTTAACAATGTGTCCATGTCATTTCATATCATTTGGTAAAAATTGTTTGAAGATTTGATATTCACACTACACTGTTTTGACCTTCTCAACCTGGTATATCTCTGTACTTTCTTGTCTGTCCAGTTCTCCTATTACCAATGACATTGCTGAAAATGCAGTTTTAAAGTTTTTACATTCAGGCCTCTTCATGTGATATCATAAATCAACACAACTTGAAAACTACTGAATGGTTTGAAATAATAAAAACAGTTTAAGAAACTGAATATTATATGCAATAAAATAATACAAACATTCTCTAACTGATAGCTAATACATTAAACTTACAGAGCATAACCAAATATCTAGGTTATGTAAAGCCGAGCTAAGTCCCAGTGGGGTATCACCCAGCTGACCATTACCCTAAAGCCACAGGAGGCTTACACAGTATAACACTTCCTATATTACCAATCACAAGTCAACAAACACTTATGTATTTGTTCTGGCATGCAGATTTACACTACTTCATAAGCTCACAAGTTTCGATCTATTTATCATATTTTTACACAAGAATGTACTAATTCCATTTTAATAGATAAAAGAAACTATTTATAGGTGTTTTGTACTTAAATGAGAATCGTCTTGTGTTAATGTTTAAATTATGGTTTTATGTTTTTTTAGCTATCGCCACCACCATTCAAATCCGGCAAAAGACAAAGGTAATTAGAAGCATTATTACATAGCCCTGCAAAAACTATTCATTTTTGTAAATGTACTACGCAGTCACATATATCTGACCATGCCTAAAATTGGTTAACTCGTCTCTTTATGTAAACTTTGAATATTGCATACAAATATTGTATAAAGCCTACTTCAGGTAAATGTTGTATCACCAACATTGTAATAGTGTACTACAGGTAGTCAGTATACAGTATCAACTTTTAATGAGGTCCATGCATGACTATACAGTCTGGGGCAAGAACTGGTTCACAGAGGCCAAAGACTGATCAGGTGAACACATTCTTATCAAAGTCCGTATAGTTTATAATGTATAAACTGAAATCCGCAGTTGATGACTAAGGCTTCATCATACGGCATGTATGGTTCAACAAGTTCACAAAGGAAATATAATAAACAAAATGGATATTTAATTTTCAAAGTTTAATAACTGTCAACATTAAGAATATTTTTATATATCAACAATCATCCAATGTCTAAAGGTTATCTATATCTCTATAAGCCTAAAACAGACTTCTTATTGGTGAATTGGTTTCTGTGCAATTACTCCCCATTAAAAAAAACAGATTTTGTGTGAATGTTGTTGTCATGTTATACCTATAGATGTTCAAAACTTTTGAGCCTCCACATTTCATACGTGTTTAGTATCTTTACATTCAACTTGAGTAAAACGCTGAAGATTTTCCCTGAATGTCTGCTTAGGATCCTCCATTGAACAGTATGTCGTGTATGAAAGTACAACAATTAACAACAGATATACATGTCCTGTATGTGGGAGACATACATTTCACAAATTTGCTTTTAGTTATAATACTTTATGTGTCCAATACTGGTATATTTTGATATAATAGAGTGAAATATGTTTGAACTATATCAACTATATTGGTATGATTGGTATCAGGGACGACGACTTCTACAGTAACTTAGCAGCCACAGCAGAGGATGACCTATCAGATGTGTCAGAGGCTGATGTCAACCAGGTGGCCAAAAGTATTGCTGTAAGTTTTCAGTATAAATAAGCATTACTTTTTATTCGGAATAAAACATCTAGATGATTTAAACTTTAAATTTCTGCTTCTTCGGAGGATCATAATTTTCTTACGACACAGCAATGGTATGGACCTTTACCTGTTTGCTTATAATTCTATTTTAATTTACAGAATCATTTTGTAGTAACTTTAGCCCCTTTATTTGGAGGCAATGTAGTCTAGTAGAAGGGCGCTGGGCTCGTGACCGAAGGGTTGCGGGTTCGAGTCATGGCATTGTGTTGTATCTCTGAACAAGATACTTTACTCTGCATGTTCCAGTCTACTTAGCTGTAAATGAGTATGTGGTTGGACACTGCTAGAATCATTGAAAGCTAGCTGTGGGTACCGAAATGGCAGCACCGGCTGTATGCTCCCAAGGGAGTTGAGAAAGATATTGGCTGGTTGCAAAAGGCCCTATGACCACAGATAATAATTTGTGAACTGCTTTGAGACGACCTACAAACTAGGTGGTGATAAAGCGGTATATATATAAGAACCTCAAATTGTTATTATTATCTTTTCTTAGAGTCTAAGTTCAATTTTACTTTTGTAAGATTATAGGGGATATTGAATTAAAGTGATACCAGTTATTAGTTATAATGTATACAATATTATTTTCACCCGAGGGTCATCAAATCATCCATAAAATTGTCGTGTTAGTCCCACTTCAGGTACAATAATAAACATACTAACATGAGAATGATCTGTGTTTCAGTATGGTTGTGCTGACTAGTTTTAACACATCAATGGAACACCTAAGGTTATAATATATAATGACTGGAAGCACATCAAATTTCCTTCTAAGGGTTAAATTGTGAATTTGCATGTACTGAACCATGACAATGCATTCCATTACCATTAACAGTTAATGGCACAGCAAACTCAAAGGGGTTAATATGCGGCACAGCATAGGACAGAAAACTGTTTCATTGTTGAACATTATTGATTTTGATATAAACATAAGTTTGAAGATGAAAGCTGGCATAGAGTATGTAACAGGTGGTAAGTGGGGGATACAGTGATAAACATCTCCAGACATTCTCATCAATAATCCACAGGCATTATTTAAACACCTTTGCCTTCATCAGAAATTTACTGTTTTACAAAGTACGCGGCATAACATTTAATATTATTGTCATATATTCATGTGAGCCTTGTGATTTGACCTTTATTAGAGATGTGGCAGTAAGGATGTGCGACTTTTCTCACCTGTAGATTTCACCTTTGTAAGAGATTTAATGATGAGGATGTGTGACTTTTCTCACCTGTAGATTTCACCTTTGTAAGAGATTTAATGGTGAAGATATGTGACTTTTCTCACCTGTAGATTTCACCTTTGTAGGAGATTTAATGGTGAAGATGTGTGATTTTTCTCACCTGTAGATTTCACCTTTATAAGTGATTTAATTGTCAGGATGTGTGACTTTTCTCCCTAGGACCTGGAGGACATGGATGCTGACCTTTTTGGTGGATCCATTAAGAAAAAAGGCAGCGTTAAGGGAACTAGTGAGAGATCAAGCAAACATAATACCCCCCGGCGGGGTAGCACTCCTAGATCTGCTCGCAACACTACCCCCAGGGCCACATCTCCACAAGCCAGAGTTACCTCCCCTACAGGGCCAAGCACTGTCAACAGAGGTGCATCTCCAGCAGCCCGTGTGTCCTCACCGACCAAAATAGAAACACCCACTAGTCCTACAGGAATATCAAGCTCACGCACAGGCAGTGGTAAAAGGAGAACTGCAGCAGCAGCAACTTCAAGATCCATCTCACCAACACCTATACCAGACTACAAACCTGGCTCTGCACCTGGTAAAATGACAGGTAAGTACAAACACTGACACCTGGTGAAATGACAGGTAGGTAATAACACTGACACCTGGTGAAATGACAGGTAGTTAATAACACTGACACCTGGTGAAATGACAGGTAGGAACAAACACTGACACCTAGTAAAATGACAGGTAGGTTCAAACAGTGACACCTGGTGAAATGACAGGTAGGTACAATCACTGACACCTGGTAAAATGACAGGTAAGTACAAACACTAACATCTGGTAAAATGACAGGGAGGGTCAAACACTGACACCTGGTAAAATGACAGGCAGGTACAAACACTGACACCTGGTAAAATGACATGTAGGTACAAACACTGACACCTGGTGAAATGACAGGAAGTTACAAACACTGACACCTGGTAAAATGACAGGTAAGTACAAACACTGACACCTGGTGAAATGACAGGAAGTTACAAACACTGACACCTGGTAAAATGACATGTAGGTACAAACACTGACACCTGGTGAAATGACAGGAAGTTACAAACACTGACACCTGGTAAAATGACATGTAGGTACAAACACTGACACCTGGTGAAATGACAGGTAGGAACAAACACTGACACCTAGTAAAATGACAGGTAGGTTCAAACAGTGACACCTGGTGAAATGACAGGTAGGTACAAACACTGACTCCTGGTGAAATGACAGGTAGTTACAAACACTGACACCCGGTAAAATGACAGGTAGGTACAAACACTGACCCTGGTAAAATGACAGGTAGGTACAAACATTGACACCTGGTGAAATGACAGGTAGTTAATAACACTGACACCTGGTGAAATGACAGGAAGTTACAAACACTGACACCTGGTAAAATGACATGTAGGTACAAACACTGACACCTGGTGAAATGACAGGAAGTTACAAACACTGACACCTGGTAAAATGACATGTAGGTACAAACACTGACACCTGGTGAAATGACAGGTAGGGACAAACACTGACATCTGGTAAAATGACAGGGAGGTACAAACACTGACACCTGGTGAAATGACAGGTAGTTAATAACACTGACACCTGGTGAAATGACAGGAAGTTACAAACACTGACACCTGGTAAAATGACATGTAGGTACAAACACTGACACCTGGTGAAATGACAGGAAGTTACAAACACTGACACCTGGTAAAATGACATGTAGGTACAAACACTGACACCTGGTGAAATGACAGGTAGGAACAAACACTGACACCTAGTAAAATGACAGGTAGGTACAAACATTGACACCTGGTGAAATGACAGGTAGTTACAAACACTGACACATGGTAAAATGACAGGTAGGTACAAACATTGACACCTGGTGAAATGACAGGTAGTTAATAACACTGACACCTGGTGAAATGACAGGTAGTTACAAACACTGACACCTGGTAAAATGACAGGTAGGTACAAACACTAACATCTGGTAAAATGACAGGTAGGTTCAAACACTGACACCTGGTAAAATGACAGGTAGGTACAAACACTGACACTGGTAAAATGACAGGTAGGTATAAACAGTGACACCGTGTACAGATCTTTCTTACACACTCAGAAATGAAAGAAAAATATAAAGTATATAAAAATATATATGGAACTGAGTTGCACCATATTCTGAAATGTTTAAAGATTCATTGCAGTGCTTAAATTAAACTTTGTAACTTTATTTTAGATATTGGTTCTGCATCAGTCTTAAAATTAAACTTTGTAACTTTGTTTTAGATATTGGTTCTGCATCAGAGTCTCTGAGGCCTGGTGTCCACTCTGCTGAAAGACCTGGAACTGTACCAAAAGCCAAAGCCAAGTATGATTTTGGAGGTTAGTATCTATAATACTATTATAATACCCATCATATAACCACAGCTACCTTAATAGCTCACAGGTCAGTTCAATGTTACAACACAGCATGGTATGACGGCAAAAAGCTCTCCAGAGGTTATTTGTTTTAATCCAAATATAATGTTTTTGTTTTGTCTTTGTGATATCATAGATATAGAATACATATATAAATTCTTTCACACTTAGTTCAGGGGTTTTGGGGTTGGGTTCAAATGAGGAATATAAACCAATATTACTACCAGAATAGTGAACTTTTCCTCCGACAGCACTTGTTTTATCTCTTGCTCCTTTTGGTGATGGTTTTAAACACTTTGTACGTTTTTCAGAGTTTGATGAAGAGGACCCCCTGGCAGGCCTTCTCAGTGATGACGAGGATTCAGTGTCGTGGGCAGCAAAACCAAAAAAGTCAGTGTTAAAAAAACAGAGGTCATCAGAAGACACGCCACCACCTCCTGAAAAAGAAAAGGGTCAGTATGCTTTGTTTGTATGGGCCAGCCTTTAATGCAGGCAGACATTAACTCTCTGTTAACTTGGTTCTCATGTTGTCCATGCAAGGATATCAGCCAAAAATGCCCGTAGTGGGTGAACACTAACTGGGGGGAAACATTTCTCTTGTTGGACAGTTTAAGGTTTTTGAATGTCATATTGTTTTAGGATAATTTTACATACACAAAGACACAGAGAAAATCCCTAGAGATATTGTTCTGTTTTAGGATCTGTAATATATCCTGAGGTCACACATGTTTAGGACAGCTGGTCTCAGGATGTTTGTTCAAATACATCACAAACACCTGAATGTATATGATTATCTGTGTATCTGTAAGCATGGCCACATCACAATTTAATTACAAGTTTTAACAGAGAAATCTTTACCTGTCAGTCATACATGTATGAACCAACCATCCTTTAGTCCTTGCCATGATGTTTCTTTTTCCGTATTCTGAGAATTAAAAATAAATACTCATTCTAATACTTGTACAAAAATATATTTAATATATAATTATTTGACAACCTTGCAAAAATAATCCAAAATGAATAGTAAAAAGAAAATTTATAGAAAGATTAGATTTAAAAGAGACAAAGAAATGACTAATCAGTTTGATGTGGCCTTGCCTGTTTTCAGTAGAATCTCCACGACGGAATGTGTACGACCGTCCTCCTACCAGGAGTGGTGGAAGTAAGTCTGAGCCAGTCGCAGAGGAAATAACAAAACCAGGTCAGCTTATTATACATCTCTGTCAAGTTTTGAAACTCATTTTCATCATAAGAAAATCAGTATACATTGTATTATTATGTAGATTACATAGTAATTAAGTAGAGTTATGTTGTTAACAGTTTAACGTTAAAAATATTCTCACACTGACTTTGTTTATAATTAACACCTTGGAAGATCCAAATATCAGAATAATGGAAAAAAACAATTAAATACTAAATACTACACACAGTTATTAAAAACATTGAACTTGTATATGATACAGTAATATACAGTGTATTGGAGATGTGAATGTCCTTCACCAGTGTGTACCATTCTATACTGTAAGCAGCCTCGCCTCGTAAGGAGGAACCAGTGAGAAGAGAGGATCCAACCCCGGTAAAAAAAGATCCAACCCCTGTCAGAAAAGATCCTACTCCTGTCAGAAAAGATCCTATACCAACAAGACGGAAGTCGGATGCTGGTCTGTTCAGTGATGACGATGACGACCTCCTCGGTAATTTAGGTATTGATGACAAGCCATCCACACCAGCAGCTAAGGCGCGTTCCCTCCCTGATGAGGATGATGACCAGCCAGCCAAAGCGATTTTTGATAAACTTCTAGGCAAAGATACTGTCTCCAAACACCTAGATACAAATAAAGAGAGACGGGAGTTTGTTCTTGATAAAAAATATACCAAAAATGCTGAGGGTATGTATCAAAGGCTTATGTCTAGAAAGTTTAAAAGAATTCTGTAAGTTCTCCGAGGTAAAATGCATCAAGATGTTTTATTACAAAACACTTTTTTGAAACATATATTTTAAACTTCAGCATTAATATTATGTTTTGTTATCACTATCCATATAATAAGTGTTGGTATGATGGCCAACAAAAAAAAATCTAACTTTTGTGTCAAAAATTTCTGAGATATGCCCGATTCGTTTCTGTATACAGATGAGGAAGACGATTTCCTGTTTGGATCATACCAGCCCTCAGCTGCATCTACCCAGGGGTCACGACCTAACTCACGCCGATCTGTCAGGTCATTATCACTGTTTAAATAGCTTGTCCCCTTCACAGACTGAAATAACTATAAAGAATTAAAATATGCAATAAAACACACCAGATCTGTTATGTCATACTAAAGTTTAGACTTAAATGTAAATGACTAACTTGAGAAAGGTAAAAATTAAAGTTTTGTGTTGACAGATTGATTTATTGATCCAACAACACTATTTACATATGAACTCATTTAAATTAAAGGTTCCAAGATGAGGATGACATCTTTGGTATAAGTGAGCGTCCGCCTTCCCGGGGACGATCCCCCGCCACTAAGAAACCTGATGACATGGAGTGGATGGACATGACTGCTAGTAAGCCTGCCATCAAACCAACCACACCAGAGAAATCCACTCCCAAACCTGCAACAAGCAGCACAGGACCAACCAGGTCCGGGCAGACTGAGCAACAAGTGTCCAAGGCCAAGTCTGATCCAATGGATTGGTTGGAAAAGTTAAAACAAGATAACATGGCTGATGACCCAGCATTCATGGCTGATGTATCAATCAGTCCACCATCAGAACCCAAGGAGGATCTAAAATTGACAGGAGAGAAGACAGAAGAGAAAGGCTCCAAACAGCAGGACAGCCTGACCGACAGTGGAGAAAACGATTACCTGGGGCTGGGGAAAGAGATTGATCTTGATGCACTTATCAAGTAAGGTTGTTTGTTCCTCTTGTGATTCTTTGTGTTTCTGTTGTGGTTCTTAGAGTATTTGGAAGGATGTACAATTGCATTTCATCCTGCAAAGGTCACAAAGAATTTTGAGGGATTATTTGAACATAGATTATCTTTTAAGAAATTGTCTTAAATCCAATTTTAAGAAAATTTCAAGAAATGTTTCTTTATGAAAAATGGAAGATAAAAGTCCGATATTGATATATTTTGAAGGAAAACTACACTCTTCACAAAATGCAAGTACCAGTATATATAATTTTACCTTGAAGGGAGAGATCTGTATTACTATATACCACGAAATATTTGCCCAATGAAATTTTTGCCCTTCACATGTAAAATATGTATTTGCCCAGTGTGAATTTCACCCGTCACATGTAAAAATCTGTATTTGTCCAATGTGAATTTCACCCTTCATATGTAAAATCTGTATTTGCTCAGTGTGAATTTCACCCTTCACATGTAAAATCAGTATTTGCCCAGTGTGAATTTCACTCTTCACATGTAAAATCTGTATTTGCCCAGTGTGAATTTCACCCTTCACATGTAAAGTCTGTATTTTCTCAAAATTTTGTCTAATGTAGCTTCTTTAAAATGTTGATTTTTAGATCAAAAACAAAGGCACCAACATTTGGTGGATCTGTGAGAACTACTGAGGAGAAAATGGCAGATCTTTTCTCCACAGGTCCTTCTAAACCAGACACAAGGTACATGTTCCTCTAAATTATCCATCTCAAATCACTGGATTCTTTGAGAAAAGTTCTAAAACCTTATTACTTGACATTGTGAAAATGTTCTTGTCTTGATAGAAACAAATACATGTACATAGTATTGCTTCGCGCATCATGCATTACCGGTTATGACATCTATTATATTGATATCCTCCTTTACTAACTAGTAAATGTAGTTTGAAATGACACTAATGTATAAAAACTTAATTAGCCAAAATTGTTTTCGACTCGACTTAGTTTAGATAAGTTATACCTGGTATCAATGTAAAACAGACAATCTGCAGAGTATTTCTATAGTTGAAGTTTGGCGACTGTACACAGCACTATAGCCTAGGTAGATTGGATTCTTCAAGGATTTTATTCTTATAATAGAAAAAGAAAATATCGCTTCACTTCAAACAGTTCAGATATTTACACTAAAAGGTTTAAGTATTATGATTGAGAAACCTTTTTTATTTGACTGCAGTAGATGATAATGAAAATGTATGCCTACAATGTAGAGTGGCATTTGTGGAACATAAGGCTTCACTATGTGGTATAATTCATGTTTCTACATCTTTGTCCTGGCTTAAATATTTTAACAGTGCAATGCTCTTCAGAGCTAATTTTATTTGTTTTACACCATATTGACATTAAATAAATTTTATCCTTCTTGTATCTTAAATGATCACATACCAGTACGACAAAGTACTGTTAAGAATAGAGATAGTTTTTAGTCTCAGTTGACCTATTGCAATTGCCTTTTGTCCGTCATCATGCATCCTTAAACAATTCACATTAATTTTTGAACTACTTCTCCAAACCTCTGATCAGATATCAGTAAAATTTTGTAGGAAGGTTCTCTGGCAAAAGGAAAAACCGATATTGTGAATTTGATGGATCTTATCCCCAGGGACCTGAGGAACCTAAATTGTCTAAAGTTTCAGCAATTTTTATCTTCAGACACAAATATACTAGAATTAAATACTCTTAATGGATAATATTAAGAACAAAAGTGGAGGAGGTACAGTTATACCGAAAAACACTTTGAGCATAATTTCTTTATTTTCAGAGGAAAACAATTAAAACTTGGTTGGAATTATTCTCATGTAATTGCAGTATGATGGTATGGAAATTAAGACCCTGGCTCACTAAGGCCCGAGGGGTGGGGCCCAAAAGGGTCAAATCATCTAAAAGTTCATCAATCTTCTTCTTCAGATCAAGATATTATAGAATTAAATAATGTACTGTTCATAGGTGAAACGGTCCTGAGTGAGATGCTTTATCAAAATTGTGAATTTCACTTCTCAAGGTCATATAGTATATATATATGTAAATATATGTAAATGGTATACAGAGTATATATATGATAAATGTTGGTCACCCCCGAGCATCACATCACTGATTCTATTGTAAAAAAGCAATATTTGGATTATATGTACATTTTTGTCACATCACGACAACACATACCACCACAACAGTTGTATTATATCTCCGGTGACTGTTAAGGCCTTTGGACTCTTCTTTCGTATTAGAATTGTACGTAATTTTCGTTTGTTAATTGCTGTTGTATACCATATTTTCCTATTTCTATGTGTTGAGATAAACACTATCAAGCTTTCTATTTTTGGTTCTCAGCAGTCCATTCTTTGACCGTGGACTACCATCAAAATCAGGAGAGAGTAAGAAAGGTATGAACATATCATTTACACTTCAGGGATGTTATAGACTCATAGCCAGTTACTTTTATCAAAAGGACATCAAAAATCAAAAATCATAATTAATACTGTTTAAATAATATAAAACAGAATATGAAAACAACATATTTGCTTCTATTCTACCAGTCCTTCAATGAAAATCTTAAAATATGTTGCTGATGTCTTTTACAAACTTACAATTCCACACAAATAAGCTAGCTCTTAAACTCTTTGCACCCTAAGGGAGGTAAACACACCCTACTGATCTTATTGTCTGCTATTTAGTATAGATAGCAGAGCACATTACATAAAGTTCACAATTACTGTGGCTTGTTTCTGGTAAAAACAAGGATGGAAGTCGTAACAACATAAGGTTTAGGGACTTTATTATGTTTTATAATGGGAAAAATATTAGATAAGGATTTCATGATAAAATGGTTATTTACAGTTGTAGAGGAAGAAAAAGCCATTTTGTCACTAGGGAGTCCTAGGGTCCCCCTGTCCACACAAATCGGTCAGCTTGAAAATTTGGACAGTCAGACCGATTATTTTGGTTCACCTCAACAGAAATCACCAGATACCGCAGTTCAGACTAATTTCTTCAGTTTTGACAAAGGTCAGAAAGGAAATGAGCCTGAAGTTCACAGGGACCCGCAGGTAAATAAATAAACATCGTTTTGTTAGAGAAAGTGAACTCGTAGCTAGCGCTATAGTCTTAGTTCACAGGGACCCGCAGGTAAACAAATTAACATGGTTTTAGTTCACAGTGACCTGCAAGTAAACAAATTTACATGGTTTTAGTTCACAGTGACCTGCAGGTAAACAAATTTACATGGTTTTAGTTCACAGTGACCTGCAGGTAAACAAATTTACATGGTTTTAGTTCACAGTGACCTGCAGGTAAACAAATTAACATGGTTCTAGTTCACAGAGACCCGCAGGGAAACAAATTAACATGGTTCTAGTTCACAGGGACTCGCAGGTCAACAAATTAACATGGTTTTAGTTCACAGAGACCTGCAGGTAAACAAATTAACATGGTTTTAGTTCACAGTGACCTGCAAGTAAACAAATTTACATGGTTTTAGTTCACAGTGACCTGCAGGTAAACAAAAATAAATGGTCTTGGCACACAAGGACTCGCAAATTAATATAACTGATTTCAGGTTACAGAGACTCACATTTTAACAGATCTACATGGTTTCATTTCGCAGGGACTCACAGATCAAACAACTCAAAATAGTGTTCAAGTTATAAATTATAATTATAATAGTTTGAAAATATTTATAATGATAGTTTGTGGCAGATTATCAGTCTTTAAATTGTTTTGGTCCAGTCTTATCAATGAACATGCTATTCTTTAATATTCAAAACAACATATTACCATGAGATTAAACCTCTTAACAGAAAAAAAAATTGTGATCTAGAAAAAAGCGTAGGAAATTTTGGGATCTAATAAACATCGTAGTAATTGATTCATCATCCTGATTTTACCTTTGAGTGTTATCCTAATTGTCAGGCTATGCAGCACTTGTTCCATCAACCACCTTCCCAACAAGTCCACGGTCAGCAACAAACAAGGGTACAGCAACAACAGGCAGCCATGCAGCAACAACAACAGCAAGCACAAATTCAACAACACACAGCTATGCAACAACAACAAAAGGCAGCAATTCAACAACAACAGCAACAACAGGCAGCATTACAACAACAGCAGTTCTTCCAGCAGCAGTCACAACTCCAGCAGATGATGACTGACCTTCAGACACAGTATGAAGTCTCACTCAAGGTCAGTTCAAGTGGGCAAAACATTCTGGTATATAAATCTTGTTAATCAGTATTCTTTATTTAACTTGAAGCAGGCTTTTCTTTTTCAATGCTAATTAGACTTGTTTTATTTAAAATTATTCAATAAAAACAGAGAAAAGTGATATTGTAATTCTGTCCTGTTGACTATATGACCTGATATTGCAGACCCCGGTGTCGAGTGCACCCTCTGTGTTTGGTGTTTCTCCGCTGACAGGCTTGGGTGTTGGCACAAGTGTGATGCTGACAGATCCACCAAAGTCTCTTATGGAGGCTGAGGCCAAGGTAAGGAAATCTTGTTGTTCAATCAAATTGATTATCTGCCTATTTAAGACTCTTTAAGGTTTAGATGAAATTGCCTATTCATTCTCAAAGTGGCATGAAGTCTGAGGCTGAAGTAACTAAAATATTATACTGTATCTATGATGGCTGAGGGTAAGGTAAATATTGATACTGTATCTATGATGGCTGAGGGTAAGGTAAATATTGATACTGTATCTATGATGGCTGAGGGTAAGGTAAATATTGATACTGTATCTATGATGGCTGAGGGTAAGGTAAATATTAATACTGTATCTGTGATGGCTGAGGTTAAGGTAAATATTAATACTGTATCTATGATGGCTGAGGGGAAGGTAAATAATAATACTGTATCTATGATGGCTGAGGGGAAGGTAAATAATAATACTGTATCTATGATGGCTGAGGGTAAGGAAAATATTGATACTGTATCTATGATGGTTGAGGGGAAGGTAAATATTGATACTGGATCTATGATGGCTGAGGGTAAGGTAATTATTCTTACTGTATCTATGATGGCTGAGGGTAAGGGAAATATTAATACTGTATCTGTGATGGCTGAAGTTAAGGTAAATATTAATACTGTATCTGTGATGGCTGAGGGTAAGGTAAATATTGATACTGTATCTATGATGGCTGAGGGTAAGGTAATTAAATACTTGTTACATGTCCCTTAAAGTTGTTGAAGCTTGTAATGTCAACGTTATCAAATTCTAGGTTCTTTAATTGACCACTTTAGATGTTATTTTATTTGCCGATTTATGTGAGACATTGCTCAGGCGAGCAATGTCTCACATAAATCGGCAAATAAACAGACTAGGCAGATATAAAAAACATCTTCTAATTTAAACATTGTTGAAGGGAAAAAGTTTACAAAACTTTTTACTATCATTTCTTCTTGACAAATTTGACAGATTCGGAAGCTTGAGATTGAGAGAGATTACGTTCAGTCAATTCTTGATTCTACAAAGCGACGTTCTGAGGAGGAGATAGAGGCTGTGGAAAATTCATACAGGTGGGTAAAACTCATTACACTGATACATTAACTATTAGACTTCAACTGGGTATGATAGCAGGGTATACTCATCTTATCCTGAAGCCTGTGCTGTTCCCCTAATCTCTGAAGTATCTATGTAAGTAAACATTGTACTCCCTTACACCAACCCCCAGTCTACCACATACGGAATCAGGGAGTGGAGTTTGGTTTAGTACTGTTTAACGTCCTACCAACAGCTATGGTCATTTAAGGACGGAGTGGAGCCAAAGCAGATCAGAGAAATATGGAAAATATAGATAGTACTGACAGAAAAATAATACCCAAAGAAATTATCAATTAAAGTATTAAAAGTAAGTTGGTAACAAAGACACTTCAAAAATGCAAAGAATATAGGACTTATGTGATGTAATAAAAGAATCATGCACTTGGTATGTGATCATACATAACAAAGTGTATATATCTAATTGTGAAAAATAGATTTCAGTACTATAAATGATATACTTGATTTCATTCAGATCAATACAAAATAATTGTACCAATATGCAACTCAGTACTGCTCTCAGCAAAATGGATCATGTAGGGAAAAAAATAAAACGTAATCAAATACATATACCAAAACAAAGGAAGCATGTTATGTCTATATATTTGAATGTTACTAAAACACATGAATAAAAGTAACAATCGAAAGGTGAAGAATGTTCTGGGGAAATAATAAAATGATATTGAAACCTTGAAAATAGAAATAAACGTGGATGGTCACTGACATGTCACGGACTGGAAAGCATCCTCCTCAGTGGTGAAACTATACAGACCCAAGGGATTCTAGTGTGGTTATTGTAGATTTACAAGACTTGTTTATGTCAATAAAACATTTTCCTTAAAAATATATATAAAACATGTGTAATAGATAAATTTCTTTTTTGTAGGAGCAGAATGAAGCATATAGAAGGAACAAATAAAAGTATAGTAGACAGGTATGTTATAGTAGACAGGTATGTTTATAGTAGACAAGTGTGTTATAGTAGACAGGTATGTTTATAGTAGACAGGTGTGTTCATAGTAGACAGGTATGTCATAGTAGACAGGTGTGTTTATAGTAGACAGGTGTGTTATAGTAGACAGGTATGTTTATAGTAGACAGGTGTGTTCATAGTAGACAGGTATGTCATGGTAGACAGGTGTGTTTATAGTAGACAGGTGTGTTTATAGTAGACAGGTGTGTTCATAGTAGACAGGTTTGTCATAGTAGACAGGTATGTGATAGTAGACAGGTTTGTTTATAGTAGACAGGTGTGTTCATAGTAGACAGGTATGTTATAGTAGACAGGTATGTTATAGGACACAGGTGTGTTTATAGAAGACAGGTGTGTTTATAGTAGACAGGTGTGTTTATAGTAGACAGGTTTGTTTATAGTAGACAGGTATGTTATAATAGGCAGGTTGGTTATATACTAGACATGTATGTTTATAGTAGACAGGTGTGTTATAGTAGACAGGTATGTTTATACTAGACAGGTATGTTTATACTAGACAGGTATGTTTATAGAAGACGGGTATGTTTATAGTACGTAGACAGGTATGTTTATATTAGACAGGTGTTATAGTAGACAGGTATGTTTATATTAGACAGGTGTTTTATAGTAGACAGGTATGTTATAGTAGACAGGTATGTGATAGTAGACAGGTGTGTTTATAGTAGACAGGTGTGTTCATAGTAGACAGGTATGTTATAGTAGACAGGTATGTTATAGGAGACAGGTATGTTATAATAGGCAGGTTGGTTATATACTAGACATGTATGTTTATAGTAGACAGGTGTGTAGTAGACAGGTGTTTATATTAGACAGGTGTGTAGTAGACAGGTGTTTATATTAGACAGGTGTGTTATAGTAGACAGGTATGTTTATATTAGACAGGTGTGTTATAGTAGACAGGTATGTTTATACTAGACAGGTATGTTTATACTAGACAGGTATGTTTAAAGTATGTAGACAGGTATGTTTATATTAGACAGGTGTGTTATAGTAGACAGGTATGTTATAGTAGACAGGTATGTTAATAGTAGACGGTAAAGTAGACAGGTATGTTATAGTAGACAGGTATAGTAGATAGGTATGTTATAGTAGACAGGTGTGTTTATAGGAGACATGTATGTTTATAGTAGACAGGTATATTTATAGTAGACAGGTATAGTAGACAGGTGTGTTTATAGTAGACAGGTATGTTTATAGTAGACAGGTATAGTAGACAGGTATTTGTATAGGAGACATGTATGTTTATAGTAGACAGGTATATTTATAGTAGACAGGTATGTTATAGTAGACAGGTTTGTTATAGTAGACAGGTATGTTATAGTAGACATGTATGTTTATAGTAGACAGGTATGTTACAGAAGACAGGTATGTTTATAGTAGACAGGTATGTTTATACTAGACAGGTGTGCTTAATAAATTCTGTTGTATTCTGCAGACTAAGGGATGAAAATGATCAGATGGTGAATCAACATATGTCCCGGATACGGAGTCTAGAGGAAGACAAGGCCAACATTAACGCTCAGTTGTACCGCAGGATAGAGGAGCTAGAACGGAATCACGCAGAAGAGCTGGATAAGATCAAACAGACTCACAGGTAAACATTAAACAGACTCATAGGTAAATGCTAACAGACTCACAGGTAAACATCAAACAGACTCACAGGTAAACATTTAACAGACTCATAGGTAAATGCTAACAGACCGCCAGGTAATCAAATACTCAGACAGAGGCAATTGTACATTGAATTTATAAGATCAGGGCAATGAAAAGTATTGACAAAGGTCTGCATTAGAAGAATATTATACTAGTTTAAAGTGCCAATTAGTAGTCTAACTTAGGTTTAAGGTCAATTAGCAATTCTTGCCATTATTAAGTCTCCTTTAGAGTCTCCAAAAAAGCAAAATTGTTTTAATGTTCCCATAATACATATAATATAATGAAAATGTATTTCAGAAACATCTTAGCAGAATTAAAAGAGGATCACAACAAGTCTTTACAACTACTGAAACAGGCCAAGGACCAACAAATAGAGGCTGCTGCCACATCCCACGATACTACAAAGTAGGTCATAGTAACTTATTCCCACAAAGTAGGTCACTGTAAGAGCACTACCCACAAAGTAGGTCACTATCACTCAATAGCATAAAGTAGGTCACTTTTTTATTTCAATACTGCAAAGTAGGTCACGGTAGATTGATTCCACAGAGTAGGTCACTATAACACAAAACCACTAAATACAATGTAGCACCAAGTTTTCAGTGTCACTTAATACCACACAAAGTCTCTGTAGTACAATACAGCAATGTACGTCAAAGTAAGTCAGTACTATATAGTGGGTCGCTATATGACTTGTGTGTTACAGGTCTTTAGTAGCTGCTGTGGCACTCATCGAAAATAATGCTCGTGACCTTGGAGAGCTCCAAATGAAAGTCAACAGCTGGCATAGTCAGGGACTAGACGAACGCGAGATCATCACCAGGTCAAAAGATGAGCAACTGCGCAGTAAGTTTCTGTAGTATGTCACCTGTTTCTTGCTAATATTGGGTTGTGTCTGATATGTGACAAAGCTTACCAGTTATAACTGACCCTGTCCTTCAAACTTGCAAACATTTCTGCAAGGTCTATTTAAGTAATTGATTTAATATAAGGTGTGGTAGGCAAGCTTGGATTTAACCAAAATGACCAAGGCTGTAAACAAGCTAGTTGTTAAGGGCACTAGAGTTTATCCTGCCTTGTTGTTCATAAAACATTCATAACTCAAACTCTCTATATATGTTTGAAGTAACAGGATGCTATGCACTTGTTTGTATATGTCCTAGGTAGATGTTATAACTTACATAACCTGTTTTATCAGTTTTACAGGAGCGACTGACCAAGCAGCAGGAAGACAATGATTCGGAGCGTCAGAGATTGAACGAGCTGACCAACCGACTAGAAGCCCAACTCCGGGAGCAGAATCGCCAGATGGACGAGGTAAATCCTTGACCAGGAATATAACTCAGATAGCAGTGTTGATATTGACAATTTGGTGGATCAACAGTTGGATTGCAAAAAAGATAAATGGCTTAATAGTAATCTCAGTTAATAAAAATTGTCTTCGTCAATTTGACATACGTTTAGGTTTTTGTTGTAATAGGGTTGACAAGGCACCTTCTAAGGATAAGTCAGACTTGTAAGCAGTTTTCATTTTGAAACTTTTATAAGAAGTATATTCATGTCACTACTTCCATGAATTAGGAAATTAATATTCCCCATTGTCAGTGCATCCCTGTCTGTCTGCCTTTTTAAGTGGGTACATTAGGGAAAGTGACCTATTTTTTGAACTCCGCCCTCAGTCAAGGAAACATTGGTTTTTCTACCATACTATTTCATGTAAGATCATCAAACTTAATATATAGATACATGTAGGAGAGGTGTGTGCCAAAATTACCTTATAGACCACTGCCATCTATATTTTGGACTTCAGTCAATGAAAAAATTATATGATGAAAATAAAATCAGAGTGACCCAATTACAATAAACACCACATCCCTTCCAAATGAAGATACGGGTACAAGGTTGCATTATTCAATTAAAAAACCCACAGAACGTTTTGTTCCTCATCCACTTTGTCAGCAAATAAGAGTTATCCATCAAGCCACAGCTAACATCATTATGTACATTCATTAGCATGTGACTACCACAGTATATCAATTTCTATTATAGGAACGATGGAAGGCAAAGCAGGAACATAATCGTCTTCATAGTCTACAAGTGGCTCTAGAAGAAGAACGACAACTTTGGACAGAACAGCAGGCTAGGGATAGGGCTAATATAGAGAAGACTAGAGTAAGTAAAGGTGAACGTTACGAGGACCCTACTGGTAGTGTGAAGGCTAGTCATAGAGTCAGCATAGAAACAACAAGAATAAATCATTTTAAAACTGACAACTAGTTAAGACATTGAACCAGCTTGAAAAAGTAATTTTGAATTATTTATTTAAACCTGTATTTAAGAAAGCCAGTTTTATTTTTCAGGAATCGCTATTGGAGGATGAGAAGTCATTGTTGTCACAGCTTCATCGTGAGCGACAGTCCCTGGCTGAGGAACGGATGCAGTTTAACGTTACACAGCAAATCCAGAAGGACGAGACTGAACAGTACACCATGAAGTTAGCTCATGTGAGTGTTTTATGTATACTAGAGATGTGAGTGTTTTATGTATACTAGAGATGAAATTAGCTCATGTGAGTGTTTTGTGTATACTAGAGATGTGAGTGTTTTATGTATACTAGAGATGTGAGTGTTTTATGTATACTAGAGATGACAAAAAAGGCTTTCTTATTCAGTAAAAGTGATTATTTGTCATCAAAGAGACTATGAAACATTCTTAGTGGAAGACTGAATGTGCTGATGTGGGTCTATTTACGTTTTCGGAATTTCCCCATTATAGAATATTTTTCATTTCACTAAATTGAATATAGTCACTAAAGGATGTAGAAAATGAAAAAGAAAAATTGACACATTAACAGGCCAAGGCAGAGTATGAAGCCACTATGAAAGCTATTTCTGGGGAGAAAAATAAGATGTTCGAGCGCCGCCAGGAGCTGCAAGGAATAGAGGACCGTGTGAGGGAGGAACAGAGGAAACTGGAAAGGGAGGAGGACAGATGGCGAGGTAAACAGGAGGACTTTGAGGAGACCGCTGCCACATTGAAGGCCAAGTCTGAGGAGGTGGATGAGATGTACATGGTGAGGGTCAATATCTTATAAAACCAACTGACAATGTTACAGTAGTGTTAGTGGTGACTGATCAGTCAACATCAAAGGAAAAATATAAGAAAACATGATACTAGGTCGATAACAAAATAAGTTGTTCTTAATATGGCCATACAATGAAGACATTGCAACAAAATGTATTGTTCATGATATTATTATGGATTATTAGCTCCCTTGGTTTGAAGATTGAGGTGAGCTTATCCAGCACTTCACTGTCATTCATCTTTCCATCAACAATTTCCTCCTCTCAACTTTTTCTAAACAGCGTAACACAATTTCAACAACTTTGACTGAAAACATCCACCGAATTATACATCTAGAGGGGCTGACACTCTTGGAGGCTAAGAGGCAGGGCCGAACATATAAACTCATGGATGCTTAGTCCTTGGTTCAAAATTTAGAAACAGTTGAGGTCACCACCCTATAGCAATATGTGGTTGTTGGGCATGAAGAGACAAATGTTTTCATGCTACCAGAACTAGTCCAGGGTGCCCCACTCCTTGGAAACTTACTTGATTTGTAACATTACTTTTAATGAAAGTGTTTTGTCATGAATACCCAGGTAAACAATAAAGGCCCTCAGGGCCTGTTGTATGTTAATTCTATTTAGGTGGTAATGGATTTGCAGTACATACCAGAATGTTAGGATGTTTCCTGGGTGATAGTTAACATAAAGTAGAATTTCACTTTATTTTCTCCCTTTGATTTGTGTATGACAGGAGGCCCAGAAGAAGTTTGAGGAGGGGGAGCAGGCACTACTGGAGGCACGCTCGCTGGAGAGTGAAGACAAGCTGAGGATGGACAGTATACAGGACCAGATCCAAATACTACGGGTCAAGGAGAAGGAGATTGCTGAGGTCAGGAGAGGTCCAACTTAGTAAACTATAGTATCTACATCTTTATAACCAGTCTTTTCTTCAGGACTGGTTTATAAACTTCATATAAATATATCCAGATTAAGTTGGAACAGTGTAGATGGATATTGCTACAATAATACCTCAAAGTGTTTACCTGAAAAACGTTGCTTTGGTAAAAACATGGATTAAAACTGTCTCATGTTTTCAGGGGATCTAGAATGATCCGTTGATTGCTTAAACTACTAGTTATCAATGTTTCTCTTATGCTTGTGAAAAGAAGTAAAAAATGGTTTTATGATTTGACTTGCACAGGAGAAGCTGCGTCTGTCTAGGGAGAAAAAGGAAGTGGAGAACCTGAGGTTTACACTGCTCTGTCCAAACTGTCGCACACCCAGGGGAGATGGCATACACATCAGCCCACCTCAAGGTACACCAATTAAAATTAAAATAGGTGTTTGGTACAATTTGGATTAGGCATGGCTTCCTTGTCAAAGAGAAACCACTGTGACGAACAGAAGTTCATTATCAAGTTCAGATAAAAATGTTGGTTCTATATGATGTTTTATATAAAAAAAAAATTGACAAATCTTCCTGGACTGAAATTTATCAAAATCTCCAAAAGCAATGCAGAGGATGTTTTATAAAGAACAACTGATTGACATTTTGACATTTATTATTTACAGTGCTGGTAGGGAACATGTCACAGGGTACGAACCAGGTAGCACCTCCTTACTTGGGCAATGGGTACAACAATGGGTACAACCCAGTCCCCCAACATACGGTGCCACATCACCAGGTACCCAATCCAGCAATTCAGATGTCGCTGAATTCTGTCCAGTCAATCACAGAGACCATCAAAGCTGACCGGTCAGTGCGGATGTGGAAGGTGGAGGCCATGAAGGTAGGCATAACCAGTCAAATTTCTCAGTGAACAACTCCAGGTTAAATTGCTGTAGATATCTATATTGATGTGTTTTCTTTAGTGTGTTTGCTGGTAATGAACTAGATTTTTAGCCCACCATCATCTGATGGTGGGCTATTCAAATCACCCTGCGTCCGTCCTTAAACAATTCTTGTTATTGGTATTTCTCAAGAAGTACCTGAGGGATCTTTCTCAAATTTCATATGTAGGTTCCCCTTTGTCCTTAGCTGTGCAGGGCAACTTTTGAGACTGATCAGATAAACAACATGCCCGACAGGCAGCCATTTTGGATTTTGATAGTGAAAATTTGTTATCGGTATTTCTCAAGAAGCACCTGAGGTATCTTTCTCAAATTTCATATGTAGGTTCCCCTTGGTCCTTAGCTGTGTAGGGCAACTTTTGAGACTGCTTGGATCAACAACATGGCCGACAGGCAGCCATCTTGGATTTTGATAGTGAAAGTTTGTTATCGCTATTTCTCGGGAAGTACGGGAGGGATCTTTTTCAAATTTTCCATGAAGGCTCCCCTTGTTCCCTTGTTGTGCAGCAGTGCCTGAAATGGACAGTCAACCAAAAGTTGTCAAAAGTGAAGTAGTCACTAGCCCAACTAAAATAGTTTAGGCTGTTGAAAAATTTATGAATAAAAGAAATTATAATCCCTTTTACATTAACTGGGGGGCAGTACATTTTTCAGTTGTCATTACTTCGATTTGAATCGAACTGTCCGTGATTTAGAAAATGTGATGATTTTTTTTCAGATTTTCTATATAAATACTGTCAGGGCGTCTTCTTTGAGGTGCGAGTTTTGTGTATTTCTTTTTTGGGAAGACCTGAATGGAGTGGATCATGTCAGGTTTTAAATAGGGTTGAAGAATTAAAAATATAGTGTTTTATTCTGTTTTACATATGACAAACATTGTGATGTTAAATGTAATTTAAATGTGCTGAAGCATCATGTTAAATGCTGTGGAAATATTTCTTGCCAAAATTTTACTCGCCCCAAAATTTGATTTTGGGCCAGCCAATGCAGGTTCATCACTATCCTTTATTATTCATGTTTACTTTTGAAACTGATCAGTTTAACAAAATTGCCTACCGACAGCCATTTTTGATTTTTGACATGGAAGGTTTGTTAGTACTATTTCTCAGGAATAACTTGAGGGATCTTTCTCAAATTTGATATGTAGGTTCCCCTTGATCCCTCGTTGTGCATGTTATATTTTGAGACTGATCATAAACACAAAATGGCTAAAGGAAGAACTAAACAGATCTTTCTCATATTGCAATGATCAATTCTATTTCTTTCACATTAAGTACTCTACTAGTAANAGAGATATTATTATTCTTACTAGCAATAAATAATGTGATGATGTAATTGGCAGATTGATACTGGAACATGGAAAATGTTGAAACCAGCTGTCTACAATTTGTCCTAGGATTTCTATTCAAATAGACATTGAGTGATATAATTACTTTTTCAGGATCAGAAGTACCTGGACGAACAGAACATGTTCCTGTATACTCTGAGACACATGCCATACAACAAGTCACCACCTAGTTCCTGATGATTGAACCAGCTACAGTGTTATAAACAGAAACAGAAACTTACAGCAAATCATCAATACTGACATCTGTACCATGTTAGTCCAATCATGTGATCATTGTCTTTATTTAATCTTGGCACTGTATATACAACCGTCTGGTTTGCAGCTCATCATTGAAGGACCTCCATATCCTGTATCTAGCTAGTCACAGAATACATATGCAACAAGAGAAAGAATATCTTACGATAGCCAATGATAGCCAATGCTAGCCAACGATAGCCAATGATAGCCAAAATGAATTCAATGGTTGCCTCAGGGCAGATCTTTGATCGGAATGGTCGTCCGCGTGAGAGGTTACAGGTAACAATCTACTCTGAAAGAGATGAGTATAGGTTTAAGTGATTCTTTCTGAATCCTGGTTTATGAAGACATGTTACTCAAGTTAAGTAACAGTGTGATGAGTGACCGTGATTTACACGACCCTTACATATTACTGTAAATAGCAGCTACCTATCCACCAGTGTGCCTGTAGATGTTACTAAGCTATTGCCAAATCAGCTAACTCCACTCACCTTGACGTCAAGTAAGGAGCATTTTTGTGGAGAATGTGACTGTACAAAGTGCTTTAATTTCCAGCTGTAAGGGGAGGATTGGACAAAGCTGGGAGTATGAATGAAAGAGTTTGTCACTGGTGTATATAATGTACGTGTGACTCTGAGTGTGAGAGAATGTCAGACATATACTTGTGATGAGGGATCATTTCATCGTTTTACGGTGTGAAATAGATGTTTGTGTGATGACAGACAGTTGTATCTTGGTGTGAATGGATTGTTACAGATGTAGTTTTTTTACCGGTAAGTGTACAAGTGACCTGTATTAAATGTTTAACTGTATTTACTGGTTAATGTACATAAAAGTAGTGTACAGTATATATAGAGGTATTTATTTAAGGCATTGCTTACCTATATTTACATCAAGTTAAATAGAAACTTGTGAATCTCAAGTTTAGGTATGTGGAACACCTATCTAGTGATCTGTTCTAACTTTATTAGTACATAGAATTAGAATATATAAATATATTGACTTTACGTACCTAGATAACTTCAGTATAATTACCATCCGTGTTGTGTCATTTCTGTATAGTTTGATTGTGATGTAGTGAATGGATACTAAGTGTTAGTACAATTTACATGCTACATTTAGTAATTATCTGGTATTGTTACCACCTAGTCTACCTGTACTTCCTACTAGCTGTTTAGGTGAAAAGTATGCAACTTTTGTAGAAATAAGTACCGTACCTATTATCTTGTTGAACGAGTATCCCTAGCAGAAGGTTAATGTTGTCAGTCTCTCCAAATGGCTGCTTATCTCAAATGGCTGAATCTGACTTGTCAGTGCAATCATTCCATACATTTGTTCCTCTTCATTAAAAACCTGAAGTCCTTTTTCAATCAAAATAAGTTCAGCATTGTCAAATTCATATTGTCTCAACCCAAATTTATATTCTTCAACCAAAATTTTATGTCTGCAAAACAGTTAAACAGTTGAGTATGGTTGATTATAAAATGCATGACATGAACATTGCAGAAAGTCCATCAGCTTGTAGGTTGTTGTTTTTGTAGTAAGAAATATGAGTTGTTGGTGAAAGTATTGTATGTAGTTTCCCAGTCGTTGTACAACTGTGGTGACATGTATATTTATCTTGACCAACAGCCTTCCTGATGTTTCATAATTTGATAATAAAAATAATATAACAAAAAGACCATTGTGCTGAGTTATTCTTGATGAAATAAGTGGTTAAGGTTATTGATGAAATAGTATGTGTTGGTTGTAATTGGTAAGATATTGTGTAGGTTATAACGTGTATCAATGAAATGTGTGTATTATGTAATGTATGTCATTAATATGTCATTGTAAGGATGAAGCAGTAAGTGTTGTAGCGAGGCGGTCACTGAGGAATAGTAAGTGTTGTAGCGTGGCGGTCACTGAGGAATAGTAAGTGGTAGTATAGGTTGTTATTGGTGAAATATTAAGTAGTTAAGGTTATGCATACTAAATAGTATGTGTGGGGTTGAAATGATGAAATATTGGATAGGTAATTGCATGTATTGATGAAATATTAGGTAATGTATATCATTAATGATGAATCAGTAAGTGTTGTAGCCCGGTTAGCATTGATGAAACAGTAAGTGTTGTGGCCCGACTAGCATTGATGAAACAGTAAGTGTTGTGGCCCGACTAGCATTGATGAAACAGTAAGTGCTGTGGCCCGGCTAGCATTGATGAAACAGTAAGTGTTGTGGCCCGACTAGCATTGATGAAACAGTAAGTGTTGTGGCCCGACTAGCATTGATGAAACAGTAAGTGCTGTGGCCCGGCTAGCATTGATGAAACAGTAAGTGTTGTGGCCCGACTAGCATTGATGAAACAGTAAGTGGTGTAGGTTAAAGGAACCTAACTTGAATGACCTTTGACAAAATGATTTGAAGAACGAATTTGAGTTCAAAGTTCAAATAGGCCAACTAGTAAAATGAGTGTTATTTCAATTACTTACTCTAATACAAAATGTACTATATTACCTTCATCAGACAAATGATCAGTATTGCATATGTACACTGAAAATGCCCTACAATCAATAATCAACAATTAGATTTGGCTACGCTTTGTTTGGTACCTCAGGTCAGAGGTAGGAGAGTCTATGGCCCCCTCTTCTGCTTTCAAAATTGGCCTGCTGAGGTGGCTTCCTGTCCCTACCACTTGAACGGGTTGCTCTCTGTTGGACCCTCCAGAATTTTGTACAAACGTTCCTCAGATGTTTTATCTTTAGCGTGTACTTTGATATTTTGGAAGTCCTTAAGAGGTTTTGCGGCTGTTTCTATGCCATTGCTACAATATATCTCTGGATGGTTTCAAATAATCCTTTTATAGAAGGGGATGACATCCTGCACGTTTACTTTCTCTGTAAATATCAGCCTTCTTTTCCCCTCAATACTTTCAAATGGTCTTGTATGCACATTTGGAATATACATTGCCCAATGGGTGTGATTTCACTCTTGGTTTTAATTTGTCACCTTCATATGCGACAAGCATATCAGTACACCAAACTTCTGATACAAAGGTTGGTGAGATCTGAAGTTCCGGTTTTTGTCCATATGCATCTTTTTCATATACACTCTAATAACCTCACAGTTCTGTCGTTTTCCTGTACAAGAAGAGTGTCAAGGAAGGGCATTGTCATATATATTAATTTTATGCTGTTTATAGAATGTGCAAACTTGTCAGATTTATCTCTGTCTTAATTTTGAAGTGTGAAACATTCCTTCATAAAATTGCAAGTTAGTAATTTGGAAGATTTCAACATCCATATCACCTGGGATCCACCCCTGTTTTGTGACTCTGACAAAAGAATTGTTTGCAGTTGCGTCTGTGTTCTCTTTTGACCAGACAGTTTAATCAAGTGTTTGGTCATGTTGAAGGCTCACTCACCTATACCCTTTATGTGGGTCCATATCCCCTTTGGGGTCACTTGATAATTGCCTGGTCTGTTCAGCAGTGATTACTGTTACCTCCTGTTGTTTGTATTGAGCATTGTTGTTTGTGACACTTGTTCTCTCCCTCACATGATCTTCCAGCTGGAGGGTTATTTCTCTCCCTCACATGATCTTCCTGCTGGACTGTTATTTCTCTCCCTCCCAAGATCTTCCAGCTGGAGTGTTATTTCTCTCCCTCACAAGATCTTCCTGCTGGAGTGTTATTTCTCTCCTTCACAAGATCTTCCAGCTGGAGTGTTATTTCTCTCCCTCACAAGATCTTCCAGCTGGAGTGTTATTTCTCTCCCTCACATGATCTTCCTGCTGGAGTGTTATATCTCTCCCTCACAAGATCTTCCTGCTGGAGTGTTGTATCTCTCCCTCAGAAGATCTTCCCGCTGGAGTGTTAATCTCCCTCACATGATCTTCCTGCTGGAGTGTTATTTCTCTCCCTCACATGATCTTCCAGCTGGAGTGTTATTTCTCTCCCTCACAAGATCTTCCTGCTGGAGTGTTATATCTCTCCTTCATCAGATCTTCCTGCTGGAGTGTTATATCTCTCCCTCACAAGATCTTCCTGCTGGAGTGTTATATCTCTCCCTCACAAGATCTTCCTGCTGGAGTGTTATATCTCTCCCTCACAAGATCTTCCTGCTGGAGTGTTATTTCTCTCCCTCACATGATCTTCCTGCTGGAGTGTTATATCTCTTCCTCACATGATCTTCCTGCTGGAGTGTTATTTCTCTCCTCACAAGATCTTCCCGCTGGAGTGTTATATCTCTCCCTCACATGATCTTCCTGCTGGAGTGTTAATCTCCCTCACAAGATCTTCCTGCTGGAGTGTTATATCTCTCCCTCACAAGATCTTCCTGCTGGAGTGTTATTTCTCTCCCTCACAAGATCTTCCCACTGGAGTGTTATTTCTCTCCCTCACATGATCTTCCTGCTGGAGTGTTATATCTCTCCCTCACACGATCTTCCTGCTGGAGTGTTATTTCTCTCCCTCACAAGATCTTCCTGCTGGAGTATTATTTCTCTCTCTCACATGATCTTCCTGCTGGAGTGTTATATCTCTCCCTCACAAGATCTTCCTGCTGGAGTATTATTTCTCTCTCTCACATGATCTTCCTGCTGGAGTGTTATATCTCTCCCTCACATGATCTTCCTGCTGGAGTGTTATTTCTAGCATTGATTATATTTACCAGTTAGGTTTAACCTAGTGTTTAACTTGGAGACATCATATGCAAGTCTGTACATCTTGGTGTAAATTTGAGGTGACTTCTCAGGTGCTGTGCTAATTTTCTTTGTTCAAATATTTTGAAACATTTTCTTGGGTTGGTGAATATATATTGTATACAGGTCTTATAGCATATGCCTTGGAATTTTGATGCATGACATTTCGCAGACTAGAACTAATGTCACTTTAAGCATTGTTAACACCATAGAATGTACATTTTTTTTATAGTGTCATGTTATAGTGAGGAAAATGTTGACCAATCAGAACACTACATGCTAATTAGTTCTGCATGGATTTCGCTCAACTTAGCCTCAGGTTTTGTATATTAAACGTCACGCTTACCAAGTTTCATCAAAATTAAATGATATTCAAGCCAGTTACCTTGCTTGCATGAACCAAAGTTTTGACAGGCACTACCCATACCATAATATGTCTCTTCAAAATTTTGACATACATATATAAAAAACATAATGGTTAAACACTGGTAACTTATGTTGAGGGAAATGTCAGCACTTTTGTCTTCAGTGTTCTAGCTCATCTGCTTTTTTCAATATGTGAAAGTTTCTAAACACTACTTCATCATACTTTTAATTCCAAACAAGAATAAAAAAAACACCATTTGTGGATTGAATATTTTTTTAATAATAAGAAATCTTCATAAGGACTATCCCAGATGTATTGAGGGGGTCTTGTGACTGATACTATACAGGTGGTGGAAGTTAAAATATTGTCACTATACTGGGTCCCAAAAAAGTGCATCCCCCAAATATATATTTTTGTTTCTTGAATGTCTCTTATTACACAAACTTGCTGTTATCTTTGATGAAAGACACTAACAGCCTCCACTAGGAGAGGAGAGTGTGATCTCCCCATGTAGCACCGCTTGGCCCTCCTACTACTCAGTAGAAGGCTCATAATATTGTTACAAATTTATTTCAACTAGCTACCAATAATGTTTTTAACATATCAAATGTGCTCTTTTCTTTCTACAGTTGTGAACATTACCAATATCAAAGACACCTCTGCTATGGAAAGTGTTTCCTTTGATCTCGATTAACAGTGGGGGTATCCCAAGGGGAAACGGAAATTGACTAAAAGATATATTTCATAACTGAACTTTCTAATTTCTATGTTTGTGTATTTTTTTTATTTATTTTTTTAAATCTTTTATCAAGCACTCTACAATAAAAAGCTCTTTGGAAGAAAAACAACATTAGTTTACCTACGATTTCAGATTTGACTAGCAGTCCTAACCCTCAGTGATTTGTCTATTACCAAGTTCTGTACTTAATTAAAACAAAACATGCTCCACTATTTACATTGGCCCTTTTCTGTTGTAAAAACAGCTTTTGTTATTTATTTTACTTGTTCATCGATTGATTACTAAAAGTAAATCAAACCTATGTTTAAGATAACTTCATAGGATTAAGGGTAAACAGTTGCATTAATTTATCAGAGTGTCCAAAATCAATATAATAATTTGAGAAAAAAGATCTGAACAATGCAAAATTATGTTTTTTCCTATACAACTATATTGATTATAAGTATAAGCCCCATATTTTGCCAAAAGTAATTCTGGAGGCACATTTAGTTTACCAGGGTAGGATTTTTCCTTGGTATTGTTACTATGCAATTTCCTGTTAAAATTCCACATTTACAGAGGGTTTACTGTAGTTACACTGCTTCACTCTACAACTGTCTATAACCCTCTAATTTTAGGAAATCAATTGGTTCTAAATATTATTTAATTTAGATATTCATGGGCATAATAAATAACTCCAAAATGTAGTGGATGTGCAGAGAATGTATGTACAGTGACAGAGCCCACAGCTACAGGGTAAACAGCTCGCACACTCAGCATATCATATATCACAGCACAGTTTGTAAACAAACCAAAATTTCAATTTCTTAATACAATTTAGTAGTGATTTAAACAAATTCAAAGTGCTAATTTGGATGTCTCAATGTGCTGAAGATCGTAATCTAA